AAAAATTTTTGAACGATGTTAAAGAATTTACAAGGGCCAAGTAAAGCATATATTGTTTATAATGGTCTAGAAATAATTATGTGAACTAGATATCTATTTTCTATGCCAGATTTCAGTCATTCACACATAACGCCATTAGAAGAGAAAGGAAGAGAGAATAGGTGGTAGGAGAAGAAGTGACGACAGGGCGACTGTATATTCAGAACGCGAAGATAGGAGACGATCGAGGTACAGAGAAGCGCAGCTCAACAGACATTTCCTTGGACGGTAAAAAGGACAGATAGTGATAGGATTTACAGTCTATATGATGAGATGGGTAGGCTAAACGGACGCCGAGGAGGACGGCTATATCGAATGAACCATGTTATTTGGAGGGGTATCCGACAAACCCAAGATGTCCTAGAATGTTTATACCAGTTCATCTACTCTCTCTTTTTTCTCGTCTATTTGTTGCACCCTACATCCTTTAATTGATCCCTGGTTAACAAATTTCTCCACCGGTCGTCCACTCTTGCACCGTTTATTACGCTCGCCAAGGGGTTGGCCAGGAGTTATGTTTTCACCGGCGTTGTTGGTTTGTGGGTTGTGCGTTTCTTTGGTTCGCTGTACAGCTAACTGAAAAACGTTATGGATCGGATTGTCAGTAAATTTTCAGGACTAGAGTCAGAATGGGCTACGAGTAAAACCGCGTATAGAACATAGATTTTAAGAACATGTTTAGGCCCTAAATTACAATTTAGACCCCTTTACATAAGCAACCTGTTTTAGGCTAAGATTTTAAAGTGGTTACTTAATTTTCCATGAGATGAAGGGACTTAAAGAAACAAGGTAAATCAAAACAGACGAGCCTCAACATATCGGATGCCTCTCGCTCGCATGCCAAATGCATGCCTCAACAATAACAATGCCAAGGCACCCTGGCATTGTTAATTGAGACCAGTACCTGCATTATTATTTTAATATACAGTAAACCCGCATAATGAAGAACGTCGATTAATGTGTTAACGTGTAAGACATGATTGTACATGTATTTGTATTGACATCTCAACATAAAAAAACAAACATGTGCGAAACTAAACTTCCATAGGTAACACGTTAACATGAACACTACGGTACGTTGAGTAACACATGCATTCACAGTCACTAGCGCGGGTTCGTAGTCATATTAAAAAGTAGAACAATTAAGACTATTTTTAAGAACCTTTTGAGCCTAATTTTTCAGGTAGCACCTTTAAATAAGACTGTTGAGGCTAACTTTGGAAAAATATTGATGTTCTTATACGCGGGTTTTCTACTGTAACTGATAGAATTAATTACTAACTTAGAAGTGATGTGATTTTCGTGGTGATCCGGATCCAATTAATTAATTAACTAATTAATTAATTAATTAAATTTTCAGGATAGGTCCGAAATGGTGTAACTTAGAATTGATGACATTTTGGTGGTGATCCGGATCCAATTAATTAATTAACTAATTAATTAATTAATTAAATTTTCAGGATAGGTCAGAAATGGGGTAACTTAGAATTGATGACATTTTGGTGGTGATCCGGATCCAATTAATTAATAAAATTTTTCACAGTGAGAGAATTGAGCTGCCTTGGCGGAGGTCTGCGCTCTCCGAGTGCACTAGTTGCGGTATGTTTTTATCGTTCCATCCTCATCAGACAACCTTCTCGCTTTCTGTTCTTAATTTGGCTCCCCCTCATAATCTGAATTGGGGATATGGATATGTAATTACTACTTGTTTCACACCATAGACCATGTGCGCGCATGCGTGTGTGCGTGCGTGCACGTGTGTCGGGACTCGGTATGCGTGGGCGTATGCGCGCGATCGCGTGTTCGTGTGCGCGTCCATACGTGCGTCTGTGTAAGTTAATGTGTGCGCGCACTTTATATCTGCATGATTACGTGCGCATGTGTCCGTGTATTCCCGTGTGCCAATGTGTACATAGCTGCAGCATGCTTGCAAACGCGTGATAATATTGTGCGTGTAACATTTAGAACAAAGATTAGGCGGATACAAATAATTTCTGATTGGATATATTCCTAGCAATGTGTAGAGTCTAGTCACGTGCGATACGCCGTCTCCTTAGCAACGTTGAGTACAGTGAGTACATGTGAGTGTTCATCATGGCGGTCATTGAAGGGGATCGTTAGCGGTGTAGGTGCTAGTTTAGGGGTGGTTAATGGGCGCTGGATAGATCTAGTTTCATATTTAAGCGCCACTGGTCGCTTACAAGACGGCGACGTAGTACTAGTACTAGTAGTGACAGTGTTCTGATACCGTTATCTACCGTGTGGCTAACGATCGCTAACCCAACCAGGCTGTGTGACTAACTTTCACGGTGCAAATCCACTTTTTAGGCACCTTGGCTTAGGTATCACGAAGTGATGCACAGATTTCTGTGTATCATCAACTGTTGCACAGACTTTCTGTATATCATAAGTCATAAAGACTTTCTGTAAGTCATAAAGTATAACCTTGCTCCTTAGGTATCACGATACGAAGTGTGTTAGGGTTAGGGTTAGGGTTGGGGTTAGGGTTAGGGTTTTTGCATCATTCCTTGATATACGGAAAGTCTGTGATCACGTTGAGACACGAGAATTCTGTGCATCACTTCGTGATACCTATAAGGTGCCTAAAGTGGATTTGCACCGCATAAGCTAGCCGTTTCTTGGAGCTACCTTGTGGCATGTCCGTGGCCCGTGCTCGCCAAGGGCGTACGGAGCACGAATGAATAGACTATACAGTATAAGCCTACGAATACGAGACTCACTCACGAGTGATATTCTACCATAATCATCACCCACACTAACTGTCACAGATTCAGAGTCAGAGCATATGGTCAGAGTCACTCACTGAGGCACGAAGGGTCGGTGTCGTAACAGGTACTACAGATATGTACCCGAGGTAGTTTTAGGTTGTTTAGTATTATGTTTATATATTTTTATATGAGGTATGTTTAGGGTTAGGTTAGGGTTTAGAGTTAGGGTTAGGGTTAGGTTAGGTAGGTACGGTGAGTATTGCGACAAAAACCGTATTGCCAATATATTGCAATACGACACAACCGTATTGCAATATTTTCCATACGTATTGGGAAGTGTATACCATGCATGATATTAGTAAAATTGATGGTTTTAATATCATCATATATTGTATATATACATAATTTAATTTCTCATGTTTTCTTGAGAAACAGAAGCACCGGCAATGTTTTCCGCTGACAGTGCAAGCCTCTGTGCCGTAACAATGTCACCCGCTGTAACTGAATACCCTCTCGGAAGGCACTGACGTAGCTGGAATACACAATACCCTGCTGCATAATTGGTAATACTGATACTGAAACTGAAACTTGAAACTGAAACAGTGGGTGCTCGCTTCAGCTTGTATCGCGCGTGCGCGGGCACTCAGAGTGGCATAGGCTATATATAGACTCCCTAGTTGCCATGCTCTCTGCCTCGCGCAGGCACGTCTGCCCCACTCTGCCCGCGCAGTAGTACCGCGCCAGTGCCTCCATGCAGTGGTCGCTTACCAGTAATACTGTAATGCGCCGTGCAGGCATTGTGCTTTGGTTTAATATATACACCGCCAGTGCATAATTTTTCGAGCCACTAACAAATAGACATAAAGGCAAGTGTCAAGTAATTATTTCTTGTTAACATTATACCACCGTATCGTAAAATATCGATATCCGGAAGTTGTATCGCGATTATCGAGTTTTCAAAATATATTGCAATATACCGATATACCGTATATCGTTACACCCCTAGTGTTAGGGTTAGGGTACACTTCTGTAGTAACAAGTCTGGTACACTTTGTGTATACATATATGTACCTCGTTAATTCGTAGTACCTGGTTACGACAACGACCCCTTGAGCCTCACTGAGTCGGTGTACATGACATTGACATTGTCATTGATTATGTGAGTGTGTGTTATTAAAGTGATTACGTCACGGTAAATAGTAAAAATAAATCAAATATAAGTAATTCTGTTCACTTTTTAGCTCATCTGACATAGTCAGATTTAGCTTGTAGAATCGGCATGATGATCGTCCGTGCGTCCGTCGTGGTCCGTGCGTCCGGTCAACAGTGGGCACAAATCTTTAACCGCTCGACGTACGGTCACGATATTCGGCTGGACGTGGGGGGGGGTAATCGAAAAACGAGTTTGGATGTTCGAAGCTGGGGGTTCAAAGGTCAAGGTCAAGGTGTAAAGAAGGGGGAACATTCACTCCTTAACTTAGGTATAGGGAGGAAATGCAGAATTGCGGCCAAAATCTAAACGGTCGACCTAGGCTCGTGATAGTCGGTGTATAGCATCATGTAGGAAAAGCCATCACTGTGCCGAAATTGGAGGTCACAGGTCAAGGTCACTGGCACAGGCAGATTTTAGACATTTTCTGAGGACATGGTCTGACGGAGCGATTGAAAAACTTTTTTGTTTCAGCGGTGACCTAGCATTTTTATGGCATTATTGAAAGGACCATGAAATCTACTTGCTTGACATGCGAAGAGTAAAGTGATCAGATAACCTTTGACCCTCAGAGGAGGAGTTAAACCAATGGTTTGTTGACTGTCTGTTAGAAAGAATTTGACTGCCGGGTTTGCTAGTGAATCTATACATGCCTGGATGTATGAGGCTACAATGTCACAGTGAAATTTCAAAAGCTAAATTTGGTTAAAGAAGGTTTATGCTCCTTAAATCGTATAATTTATATGGCATTCTGTACTGTCAGTATGTTACATGTAACGTATGCCACTGCCAGTGGCTACTGCCCAGAGTGCATGTGTTGGTGGTACTGTGGAGGTTTTTGCCTGCGTTAATTGGTTACAGGTGGCAGCTCTCTATTGCAGCCTGTAGGCTTGCCGTAGGTAAATGGATGAGTTGCTACCTATCTGTTCTTGCAGATAGTTGTTGCTACTATGTATGATGGGAGCTTCCATCTTTAATCTGAAGACACTTAAACGTACGCGCCATCTCGTGGCAACTTTTCATAACGATCCCAACGAACATTCTTTTGAGAAGGTTCCTGATACCATCCCTGTGCATTCCACTGTTTCGGCGTGTACGTGTATGTGAACACATTTGGGACTAACAGGGTTTACTAGAATCCCACCACTCCACCACAGAGTCACCGCAGTAGACGTTAGATGAGCGCTGTCGCTCTGCGGCACTTGTTATGGTTAAATTGCTGAATTATACTTCCTGTTTTACTATATTGTTCGATGTGAACATACACTCGTGACTCATACATAGCCCATACTCATAGCAAGCAATAATTAATGTTGGGAACATTAATATCAAATCGTCTAGGTTTTTTGGATTTTTAACTAGTTGAGAAACAATCTTATTGATTAGGTAAGAATTTGACGATACGTTTAGTCCCGTTTAGACCTAGTTCTTACTTTTAATGTAAAAAAATGGCAATTTTTATTTACAAATTTTACAATAGAAAATTCGTGACGTAGGCAATTTAATACATTATGACATCATCATTGTTAATGTTATGATCAGTGCAGTCGCAGTGTCGCCGTCGGCGACTAGGGAGACGGTTAGGCTAGCTTAGTACTCCAGTCTCCAGTGGCAGTTCATTGCTGTACCTGAAGTGGCTATATTGATGTCAGTGTTTGAGATTGGCGTGGGCATATGTGACTGTGTAACTCATTAAACATTACTATCACTATCTGTATCAGTGATTGTGTAATTTTGCTGCATTTTAATGAAAGTTTTAATTTTTAAAACAGGTTTCCATCGTTATCAACCACTCTTTACCATTGGACGTGAGCATCTTTTGCAAAATGAGTGTACAGTTTGCCCCTGTGAAGTTGACAGTGCCCCCTGGTTTTGACCGGCTGTTGACAAAATTTTGCCGCGAGGTTCTTCGGAACCAACCGGATGACATAATTGCTTTTGGAGCAAAATACTTCGCAGATCAGCTTAGCCTACGTGAATCAGGTTAGAACTGCCTATAACTACTTTTCCTCACCTCACGTTATTAACAAAATTATAGCTTAAGATTTTAATCATTTATAAATACTAAATTGTGTAGGTGTACACATGTGCTACTACTGTGTGTCTGAAACTTCATGTATGATAAGATTGTTTAATGTTTAAGTGGATTCAATCTTGTTCGTCCTTGCCAGTCAATGTTCTTCTTTCACTCAAAGTATATTTTTTGTTCAGGATCCCTGAGCCCTGAACTGGCAGATGTGAAAGGTGATGGGCATGAGTTGGATGACACGACAGAGTCCAATGCTGCTGATCTAGATGCAGTTGATGATAAACCTGTAGAGGCAGAAGATGAGAGTGGTAACCAAGATTCTATGGGGTCAGCTGCAGACGCAGAGGAAGAGGGTTGTGACGAGGAGGAGGACATTGAACAGCAAGAATGGTGTGTTGCTAGTTTGTCTATGAGGCAACAATTAAACGGTTTTTGTGTTTGCTGGGAGTCTGTATGCTACATTCAAAATACTATCTAGAACCTTTTTGTCCAAATAATGGAAACGTATGTAGGTCTAAACCCAACTATAGATATGATAGAAAAATAGATAGATGTGTCCCTCGATGTGATTTTATGCACTAATTAGATTCATGATTTAGATTCATGCAGTAACTAGTTCCTTTGCAGTCGTGATGTATTCTAAATTGTAACCATTCCAATTTAATGTCCAGGGCAGCTGTGAAGATCCAGGCTGGGTTTAAAGGTTATAAGACTAGAGGTGAACTGAAGAAAACACAGCAGGCAAAGGAGAATCTAGCTGCCTCAAAAATACAAGCTGGATTTAGAGGCAAGTTTCTATACACGAACAAACCATAAATTATAATTAAGTATGTTTATGATTATTAATTATTTAATCAATTCATTCATAATAATTCCTTCACAATTTGATTGCCAGTTTTGCGATTTTAATTGTAGATAAATACTGTCAGTATTGGTGTCAAAGAAAATATTTGATATTATGGCTACTCAGAGTATATAATTATTGTTTCAATCAGTTCATGCATAAACCTAGTAAAAGTCATTATTTCCTTTTTGTTTTATAGGACACAAGGCTAGAGGTGAAGTGAATGCATTGAAGAAACAAGCAGCTGTTGAGGGAGACGTGGAAGGGGGTGAACAATAACTCCATCTGGTGTAGAAACTCCACTGCCGTTTTGATTGTATTTGCAGGCTACCTATTTCTACCAAAGGCTCCATAATCTGAGCATAGGGTCGGCATGATTCACTGTAGTGATGGTATTATCCATGCCATCATAACTTTATGTACAATATTCAGGTTATAATGAGATCTACACAATGATGAAGCTCCAATAATTGGAATTTTAACATGGGGTTACATATGCTGCTCAGTAAGGACTTCAGTGAGCAAAATCAATCTTTAGATTCGCCTTATTGAACTTTCATGCATCAAAGATTTCACTGTAGGTCTAAAAAATTATGAGAGGTATTGCCAAATGCAGCAGGGGTGGTTTATAGGTAAGGGAGAGTGTGGTCCAAGCATCCTGAAAAACCTCTGTGTGATTTTGGTCGTTTTGGAATTTACTGCATGTTAGGGAAAGAATTTTAACTGCTGTATATTTATGCTGTTTAATATTCCAAAGTTTTCAGTTTTGCAAGTGTGCATTTTGGAGAAAAAACATACAATGAAACTGCCTGAACTTGAATAAAGAATTGAATGCACAAACAGATTTTGCACCTTTGTAGTTTACATTGGACATGGTTTTTTGCATCATGTATACATAGAGCAGCATCCTAAAATGTTAACCCATTGGTTCCCATCTTTTCTAAATATGTAATTCTGGCTGTCTAAAACTACAGAGACCAGGAACTAGACCCACATTCTGACGTCATATTTCTGGCATGTTATATTTGTCATTAATCTACTATTCACCCAGTGAAAATATTCTCAATGCTGTCCCAATCTCTCACTGTTCGGTCTCTGGTTAATACATTGTACCAGGAGCGTATAATGACAAATTTGTCATTATACGCTTCTGATTGTACCTATTGTTTCTGTGGCAGGTTCTACTTACGGTACAGATGCTTTAATTAAATCAAAGTTAATGTTTACAAAAACGATGCATATTGTACACATTGGACCCATTGTATGCACAACAATAGTTGTACGATATTGTTATGGGCCAGCGTCAGTCGGGATGGCAACCTTATAAAATATTTATGGGCTCTGATGAATTGTTGATGAATTTGTGCATTCAAGCCCATTATCTGTCCAAAATATTGGAAGTACGCTGTAGATCGGCAGATGGTACGCTACAGGAGGTACAGACAGCAAGGTGCAGTTTTCAGATTTCTTTTAATGTGATAGTTTACGTTGGCAGGGGAATAAAATTGCTGGCGTGCATGTACGTAACCGCATACTGTATAGCTTCCTAAACGGTTGAGTACACCCCAGCGTTACCCGAACGCGATTTCAATATGAATTACATCACGCTGATTTTGCGTGCAGCTAGTTAATATGTTTTATAGGTATTCCCGTGAAGGTGATGCCTTTAATGTACGCGCAAGCGCCTGGAAAACGTCGTTCGGGTAAGCTTTCTAAAAACGTCTTCAAATGCGTAATTACGCGATTTGATTTTCTTATTAAGAGTTTTCAATTGTTCTGCGGCCCATCCAAATGCGCAGTTATGTCACGCATTGTTCTACCTTGTCTTGTATCTTCTACGCGTTTTCCTACTGTCGCCTGGTGGAAAATGGGCAACCGTGTTGTTCCATTGCTTCTTGTTACGAGGTGAGATTATTTGCTCCGCTGTAACGATGGAAGACGTGGATGGATCCATTCGGAATAGAATGGTGGTCTGCTGATAACTACGCGTTTAATCCTATCAGGAGTGAATGAAAAATGCCGCTTCGATTTTGATTCACTCCTGTGTCCTATCTACATGGACGTAACGGTGACGCAGGTTTTTAATTCGCCGTTTCCGTTTATTGAACGTTCGTAGGCACTCGGTGGATGCTGTACAGCAGCTGGTCTGCAGGATTTCTGCTGCTCAGCTAGTATACGTATATATATATATATACATATATACGTATATATATGTAATATAAACCATAGGGGGAAATGAGTGCACATGCGCTATATTCTGGCTACGGATCGACGCTGGTGTCTAGTTGATGCAAGATTTAATTTGACATAGTTTTAGTCAGATTTGAGTTACATGTGTTTAAAAAACAGGTTTGATAGACATTGGCGATGGCATTTACAATGGTGACTATAACTATTATTGTCGTTACCATGCCAACAGCTGTTTTATTTGTTGTGTTTGTTCGCACAAGGTTGATAGGCAACACACACACAAAACATGTGTATACATACGTATCCGGTTATACAGACACACACGGATGGGCGCAAATAGAGATGCACGAACCCACGCACGCACGCATACGTACGAACGCACGCATACGTACGAACGCACGCACACATGCGTACGGACGCACACACACATGCGTACAGACGCACGCACGCACGCACGCAAACGTACGGATGCACACACATGCGTACGGACGCACGCACACATGCGTACGGACGCACGCACACATGCGCACGGAGAGACGCACACATGCGTGCGGAGGGACGCACACATGCGTACGGACGGACGCACACATGCGTACGGAGAGACGCACGCATGCACGCGCGCACATACACGCATGTACACACTTCCGGTGACCCGCGAACCGTTGTTTGCTCTGATATATCCCGAGACTGTATGAATCAATCCCACATTTTGTTTGAGCTGCGGATGCAAACACTATTTGTGTACACCTACGCATATCTGGCGTTGCTTAAATTGAATAATTTATAAAGGTAGGCTTCACTAAGCGTAGCGACAGCGTTCTGTTATAACGATTACAGCCGATATGCCAAAGTCGGTCACAGCGCCAGTGAACTCCGCACGTAAAACCGATAGTGTAGTTGTATTGATCAGTCGGTGAGGCAGCGGATGCAAAAGATGGCGCCTGCGATATATAATGATAAAAAAATATAAAAACCCTATTGCGCTAATGGCCTTTTACCTTAAAACGCTTCGTGCCGTATATGGTAATCGATATACACTCGCAGCGCGTCACTAATCGCTTTGTAACGTACGAAAACAAAACAAAATAACTTTAGCCGTCATCTGAATCGGGGAGTGACGAATAAACGATAAACTAAAATCCAAAATTCTCTAAACGGGGAGTCGCGGTGCCTGAACCGTTCGCTGAAATCGTAAGCATCATAAAGTAAAAGAAGTAGGTAAATATACAGTAATACCGCAATTGATGCGGGTACACATGCACTAGCATACTCTAATGCACGCAAGGAGCAGGGGCGGATCCAGAGAGACATGATACAAGATTGCGTGGCACAGCTTTGCGGATGAGACGCGCAGTTCCGCGGGATATGCGCACGCGACCGCGGGGGATGTTCAAGTATGAAGCGCTGTCCGCAGTGGAGACGTGCGCCAAATTCGAGGCCTGGCGCACGTCTCCACAGCGGTCAGCGGATGGTCTGTAGTTTTAGAAGATGACAATGATTATATATGGACGATATTCTAGGAATTGGAGATTATAAAACAGTAACAACAAATAGCTCAGTCATGCTCCAGATTAGCTGAATCAAAAAGATTATAATTTAATATGAACAAAACAAATACAACGGTTATAAAACTCACAAACAAAGAAAGGATAGAGAAGGAGACCAAGGCATCCAAGGCAATAGGCAACCAAGTAATCCAAAAAATGCACCAAATATTCATACCTAGGGGATTTAATTAATGATATAGGAGGTTATAACGATATGATAAGCGTCCGAACTGAAAAATGTTGATGATGAGCCGTTTCATGATGAGCGAAATAATATTATTATCATGGGCAGAAGAGCAAAATTATGGAAATCATACTATAGAAGCAAGAGTAAAATTATACAAATGCACAGTTTTACCTTCCTTCGTAAATAACAGTGAAACATGGACGAACTTAACTAAGAAAGAAGTAAAAATGTTGGAGGATTTCCAAAATGAGTGCCTGCGCAGAATAATAATCACGCAGACAGGGGCGTAGATAGCGGGGGGGGGGATGCATCCCCCCCCACTTATTGACGTGGGGGGGATGGCGTGTACAATTATCCCCCCTACTTTCAGGAGGAAAATGGGGGATTCAACATTTTCTGGGGGAGGACCCGCATACCTCCGCCTGTTTCTTACCACCCTCCTCGAAAACCTTCATTGGCCACTGTCGAGCATAACAAATTGAGCACCCCCACTTGAAAAATATTTCGGCGGCGCCTGTAGAGTACTGCTAACAAAGATTATGATTATGAATATTTGTATGCATATCAAAAGTCAGATTTGAGTTCATCTGACAGGGGCGTAGATAGCGGGGGAGGGGGGGGGCTATCCCCCCCCCCACACTTATTGAGGTGGGTGGCTTTCATCCCCCCTACTTTCAGGAAGAAAATGGGAAAAAATTTAATATTTTACAGACAATAAATACTGGATACTTATCTACAAATCCGTCATCGCTATTCATACTCTCCTAATGTATTATTACAGAAATGGAGCGTGACATACATCTACTGTAAAATGGCTGTAACTCGTTCCAAGAATGACATTATTTTACTGAAACTCAGACGGTTAATTTTGGACGCATTCCCCATATAAGATTATTTTTTCAAAATCCCCATCAAGTCTTATCACTGCTCACGAAAGTTAAATCCTTGCTTTATTCAAAATTAGAATAGACCTATTGAGAATTGGGATATTGAATTTTCACGGGGATTGAATGGGAAAATTCAATTTTATCTCATTTGGGGGGGGGGGTTTGACCCGACCGGAAGTATATTCCCGATTTTGTATAAGGGGTGAAAATATGCACCTTTTGGTTCAAATCTGGTTGTTTTTCTCATATTTTTTGCAGTTTTAACGTTCTCAGTAAAATATACGTTTTAGCAAAATTTCAGGAGGAGATGATTCCAGTGCTGTAGTTGTCAACGGGGGGTCGGTAGTACGGGGCGGTTGCCCCCCCCCTTAGAATTTTTTGGGCAAAGGTATTTTAGCCTAGGTAAGTCTGCACTGGTAACCCCAGTGAGGACATGTACATAGCACAGATTTGGTAGTAAGTATTTTAGTCTTTGGTGTCCCCAAAGGTAAAAATGCTCAACTCAACAGTGATGTTATTGTGATGAAGATTGTTTAATAGTGCTGCCTCATAGTGCAGGAAATTGCATCAAGGAGGTGTTACTTTCAACAAAATCCCCGGACCCTTCCCCCCCTTAAACAGGAGGGGGACACGCCCTGAAGGAGGAAAAATCTTGATATTCTATGATAAAGATGTCCAAAATTGATTGCTTTTAGATTGCAACTTTTTAACAGTTCCACACAGTGGGAGGGGACCCCCCCCCGGGCGCTTCGTGCCCTTGAGCTCGCATGATTCGCCCCCCTAGAATTTTCTTCTGGATCCGCCACTGGTTGTGTGTGTGGGGGGGGGAGGTATGCGTGTTATTAAACCTTTGGGATTCAAAGAAATAAAATTACCCTAGAATTCACAAAATTTCACTTACAATATCAATTTTTTTTAATTACCTCAAAAACGGCCATCTTGAAGGTTCTAAATTGCTAAAATCCAAGAGCTTCCGGGGGCTCCACCCCCTGGACCCCGGTGCCTGCCTTCGATATCCATTTGGAGGCTCGCT